ACAAAGAGGTTAATGTAGACTTCATGTATTCTGTGAAATGGAAGGAAACAAGCACTCCTTTTGAGAAGAGAATGGAGAAGTACTCTCAGTCCTCATCTCTGCCACACCACTTGGAAATCCATTGGTTTTCAATAATCAATTCCTGTGTGACGGTTCTTCTCCTAACTGGTTTTCTGGCAACTATTCTTATGCGCGTCCTTAAGAATGATTTTGTTAAGTAGGCATCGTTTATTCTATTTATTCATTATTTTCAAATCATTCTCAATCTTTATAGATTTTGTGAAATTATTATTACTGTATGATAATTATTATTATTATTAATTTGTTATTATAAAGGTATGCTCATGATGAGGAAGCTGCCGATGATCAAGAAGAAACTGGGTGGAAATACATCCATGGTGATGTTTTTAGATATCCAAAGTATAAATCTGTGTTGGCTGCCGCCTTGGGTTCTGGTACTCAATTATTTACCATGTAGGTATCCCTCGTAAAAATATGTGAAGTACTAACGAGCTTCTAGCTCCATATATTCATATATTTATGTTCTTACCCCACTCACACTGTGGATTCCCAGGACAATCTTTATATTCATCCTGGCACTGGTTGGTGTGTTCTATCCTTATAATCGGGGAGCTCTATTCACTGCCTTGGTCGTCATATATGCCCTCACTTCAGGCGTTGCTGGCTATACTGCTGCCTCCTTCTATTGCCAACTTGAAGGAGCAAACTGGGTCTGTTTATTTATACCTCTCATTTACTCCGTACACATACAGTACATTTTGTTGAACAAAAATGCTCCAGAGTTTTTTTCCCCATCATCTTACATGTTTAGCTTGTCCAGGGTTGCTGGAAGTGCCTATCTTGTCCATGTATTAATTAGTTAATAAACTAAAGGTCATTCTGTCTTACAGGTCAGGAATCTGTTATTAACTGGAGCACTGTTCTGCGGACCACTGTTTCTCACTTTCTGTTTCTTGAACACTGTAGCCATTGCTTACAGTGCCACAGCAGCATTGCCCTTTGGTACCATTGTGGTTATCTTTTTAATATGGGCTCTTGTCACATCACCGTTGTTGGTCTTGGGAGGAATTGCTGGAAAGAACAGCAAGGCAGAATTCCAAGCCCCTTGTCGTACTACTAAATACCCGAGAGAAATCCCCCCTTTACCCTGGTACCGTGGGGCGCTCCCTCAGATGGCCATGGCTGGTTTCTTGCCTTTCAGTGCCATATATATAGAACTGTACTATATATTTGCAAGTGTTTGGGGCCACAGGATCTACACAATCTACAGCATCTTATTTATTGTGTTTTTAATCCTGCTGATTGTCACTGCTTTCATCACTGTGGCATTAACATACTTTCAACTTGCCGCTGAAGACCATGAATGGTGGTGGAGGTGAGCCTTCCAGTTCATATGAGTTTTTTCCCCATCCATATCTAACGATTGAGTTGTTCTTCCGTGGTCATAATGTGAAATGTGGACCTTCTCATACTTTTCATGGGCTGACAAGTAGATATTTTCTTTTTTGCGAAAGACCCAATTCTTTTATGATATCAATACACTAAGGTCCATAAAATGAGCAGCATGGATCTTAGGACCACGTAAGAATTTTCCCTAACAATTTACTATCTCTAACTCCTTGCCTTGCATGTGACTCGTGTGGATTATAGGTCATTCGTTTGCGGTGGGTCAACTGGGTTATTCATATATGGATACTGCTTGTATTACTACTATGCGCGTTCGGACATGTCGGGCTTCATGCAAACATCATTCTTCTTTGGGTACATGGCATGCATCTGTTATGGCTTCTTCCTCATGCTTGGGACGGTTGGTTTCCGCGCTTCGCTCTTTTTTGTCCGCCATATCTACCGCTCTATCAAGTGTGAGTAATAATAATATAATATAGCTAAGCTTCTTATGGGAATGGAATGGCCTTCTCCTTCCTTGCACTATATCTGTTAGGCAATCTGCAATTTTAGATGAAAGACCATTTAGGATGTAGTTTTCTTTTTCTTTTTTATATTATTTCAAAATTACTTACTTGAGTTCTAAATTTGTTGTATTGTCTTTGAACATCCTTGTCACTTTGCAGTTCATCTTGTAGCTTATTATGGTTTGCTAGTTCTTAAATCTTTTTGTTCATTTTGCAAAAGTGATATTTTTTTTTTAATGTTGTCATCTTAGTTTAACCGGATCAGAAATGTTCATATCAGATACAAGGAAAACACTTGATTCGGGTTCACACAGATTGTCTCTGCTGTGAGAATTTTCAACAGGCAGACAGATTTACCCAAAATTGAGTGTTCAAAGAAAAAAATGTTTGTTCATTGCCTTCCCACGGGGAATCTAAAACTAATGTTGTGCATTTTACACATTTTGCAAAAGAGGTTTATATTGTTCAAACAAAAGGGCTCTCGTATCGATGTTGGCAAGTTCTGTTCTGATTCAGTGAGAACGTAGGCTGGTCCTTTATACATTGTGTAGTACGGAGTATTAATAACTCTCTCCCTTAAAATTAATTTCTCGATTTGACTTTTACCGTCAAATTTTTTAAATGTTGACTGTTTTAACGGAAAAAATACATTGAATTTTCATATAAATCCGTTATCAATAGATCCATTTTGAAACATAGTTTTGAAATATATTATTTTTATAATACTTATATTTATATAAAAATAGAGATATTAATGGTCAAAGTGTTGCATTGAAAACCGTAAAAAGTTAAATGAGAAATTAATTTTAAGACGCAGAGAGTGTAACTTTATACACACCCCCCAGATCTAGCTTATCATGTGGACCATTTTTATATCAAAAAAAGAAAACTATAAAAATAAAGCTTAGCTCCACCTACATCATGTCAATATTTTTTAATAGTTAAAACAGAAAAGAAAAACTAGAAAAAAAATAAGATCTAAGTCCACCTACATCATGTGGACCTTTTTTTTAATATTTAAAATAGAAAAGAAAAACTAGAAAAATAAGAGTTGTATGGATGTAGACTACGTACCAATTCTTTCTTAATTTCTCCGATTAGAATAGTTTCGGATCGACATTTAGAAAAGAATTGCTTATGTGGTTGTATATAATTTGCTTATTAGGTTATCGCTCTTATTTATTCTTACTTCTTGATCTTTATTCTCTTTGATAGAGAAATATTTTGCCTATAATGGGAAAAACAACTTTAAATATATATTGCCTTCTGTTCCCAAAAGAACTTTTTATTTTGAACAACGTGTAAAAAATCTTTATCTTTTAAAAAAAATTAATTACAAATTGGTATAGAGATAAAGAGTACAAACTACATATTGTAAAACTACATAAAAAAATTCTACTAAAATTAAAAATTACTGAAAAGTCGTAATAATAGCTAGCTAAAAAGTGTATTTAGAGATAGAGGAAGTATGTGTTCTATCTACGTGAACATTCCATATTACAAGTGAATTAAAAATGCGTGTTTTGTGCATACAAATGCTACGGAGTACTTTGCACTTCGACAAGAAGTGTTGTGTTTTTTATACTTAATTTACTTTGTATTGTATTGTTGCTCGAATTCCGAAGACGTATTGCATTAGTCATTTTGAAAATCGAAATCGATAGATTTGATGCACAAAGTTTAGAATGAAGAAAAAGATCGAAAGAAATAGAAAATCTTGAAATTGTTAGTCCTTGACATATTGATAGATTGGCACACTTAAGGAAACTCATCAAATAGAGAGGCAGATTAGAGGATTGATCCGTAAATTCTTAAGCATAGATTTGGCACTAAGAAGAAAATATGCTCAAATGCAGTAGATTTGGAGTTTTAAGCAGAACTTAACACTTAAAAGAAATTAAAGGATAAAGATTACTCCATAAATGTATGCATTTACTAAGAGTAAATCTATAATTGATCCTTTATAATAATGATTTTTCATATTTAGTACCTTTCTGTATTTAGTACCTTTCTGTGCTAAAAATATAATTTTACATCGACTCATTTTCAATGATGTATGCTGATGTCTGTTTGACCGGCAACACAATAATAATAACTATAGTTGTGGACTAAGTTACACTCTAACCCTTAATTTAAAACCAACATGATAGAAGATAAAAAACTAAATTTAGAAAAATACCCATAAAAAGGACCACATACATAATATTTGAAAATTGAAGACTAAATATGGAAAATTTCATGTTATAAAAGACTAATTATAAAATTTACTCTTACTAAAAAAGAAGAGTCATACCTAAGGCGTTGGACAATATAAAATTTTACTCACATTTCTTTTTCGTCTACAAACTATGTACTCATTATTTCTTTCTCCTTTCAAAAAGATACATAATATAATATTTATTTCAGTACAAATTCTAATCGCTCACTTTTTACTTTTCTACTCCGTACATGTTTTCAACATCTTACCAACACTTTTCTTAACCATGCTACGTGTGCCGTGTACCCAAATTATACACTTCAAATATGCATTGACACTTTGATAATTCACATTGTTACAACATGTTAGTGCAATCAAAAAATTTTATACTAGCATTTCGTGCTAGTGTGAATCATTAAAGTGTCATTCCTATAGTGTACAACTTGGGGTACTATCTTTGGTGTACCAAAAGTTTTATTCTTTTCTTAGTGTTGATGAAATCAAAATGGATAAATATACTTGTACCCCAAAAATTATACCATAAAAGTTTGTACTTTGATTTTGTGTCAATGTAACTGTGAGATTAATGACTTATATTGACAAAAAATGTGAGTACAAAATTTTACAATTATACTAGCATTTTGTATCAGTATAAGCCATCAAAATATAAATGTAATTCTTTAGGATGAATATCTAGAATACACTTATACACCTAGTCTAAGCCTAGACACGGTACGATTCCGATCCGGTACGGAACTGGCAATTCCAATCCAGTGACGAGCGGGTCCTAGAACCGGCGGTTCTGGCTTCGATTTGAAACTATTTTAGAACGGAGGGAATAGTTAAAGAAAATGAGAGGGGATCATTGCAGCTGTAGTCAAGCTATCAAATCTGTTGACAATTCATAGTATGTAGTGCAAATACAATCTCATCTCATACAGTAGTGTGGATCAAATGAGCCTTTGAAAGTTAAACAAACAAATATCCCCATCCAACAGAAATAACAATGGAAATGGTAGCTTGGTCTATAATATAATACATCACAAGGCTGCAGCCATTGCAGAATGACAATATAAAGCAGATGCTGGTCACCATTAAACCACACACATCATTGAGCCCTTCTGTTTTCTATCTCCAAGAAGAACCGCCAAGCCGGATAACCTCCTCGGCCCCTGTGCCGCCGCCCCTTGGAGCCTCACTATCATAGTTCCCATTCTCCTTCTGGCTGCTACTCAAGTCACCATAGATGTCTTTAAGCTTTGCCAGATTGCTAGACACATGAGATGTCTTCTTGTCTTTGCTGACATCATCTCTTGCCGGACTTCGCCGACCATGACTCTTGCTCCTGCTCCTACTCCTACTCCTCTCGCGATCCCTTCTGCTTCTCCTTTCCCTCTCCCTATCATAGTCGTCGTACCTTCTTCCCCTCTCCCTCTCTCTATCATAATCATACCTCCTCTCTCTATCTCTATCCCTATCTCTATCTCGATCCCTACTGCCCCTCTCTCTCTCGCGGTCCCCTTCTCGGTCGCGGCTTTGACTGCGACGGTAACCAGGAGACCGTCTTGCATCATCATAGGGAGGTGATGTCAGCGTGCGGCGAATGGGGGATGAGTCTCTGGTTGATGCACGGTGTGGGGCACGCTGGCCAAAAGAGACTGAGAGTGAAGCTTTGACTGATGGAGGCCGGCGAGCTGTTTCTTCCGACCCGCGACTGGAATCCCCTGTTGAGCCAGAGGGTTTGGTGGGAAACTTCATGTTCTCGAGATTTGATACGATTGTGCGCATTACAGGGACTGGGATGCGAGGCAACAGCGTATCGAAGTAGTACTGCAATCAAACACACAAAAGAAAGTGCACTTCAGTCAGAATTTACATATACAGAGCAAATGTTAGTTTTTTTTTCACAAACAAAACAATGTAAAATAGTTAATGTATTCTACATTTTGAGGATTGAATTAGTTGGGAGAAGAATAAAAATGGAATGCACAACAGAAAAAAGAGGCACGTAACAAGGTTTTACTGGTCAAACTGCAGAATGAGAGGCCAGTACTGCCCTTACAAATAGCCAGATGTTGTTCCCTCATTTCCTTGTCAACTTGACAGTTCAAAAAAAGAAGAAAAATTATAGAGAATCTTTCTGTGAAGAGATAATTTTTTTTAGCAGAATCAAGATTCAGGATAAAAATGAGTACGCATCATTTTTAAAAGAATGCCTTCTTTAAAAAAATAAACTCATAATCACAATAAATGAAAACTTAATTTTTATGAGACATAAATCAGAATTAACTACCAAACGAACATTTCAGCACAGTTCCATCATCTAAATCTTGTCATTCATCATCAGACTACTCAAAGGCTCTTCATATGGTAAAACATTAATTCTAGATCAAATGTAGTAAGTGCAGTAATGAAGTTTAAGTGTGCTAATGGGAGAACTAAATACCAGCATACATAGCAATCTAAGATTCCCTTCAAGGTGGTTGACAGCTACCAATGCTTGGTTTTATTATTTTAAAAGTTACAAGATGCATGTTGGGAGTGTATTAAAAAAATTAAAATCTCTGCTTCTTACTCCCTCCATCCGGGATTTTCTTCTCGAGTTGACCAGGCATACTTAGGAGAGTCGAAAATTGTATTGACTTTCCATAACTATACTATTTGTCCCTAAAAGTCTATTGATCGTCCACTGCTGCTGCTTGCTTCCAAAACACCGTTTGAACATTATTTCCCTGTCCGGAGCACTGCCAAGGAGTAGGTCTGTCGATATCAGAATGCCACCCAAAAAAGCTGAAAGAAGAAGAATTGAAGCGGGAAGAACAATAATTGAAGGAAGAAGAAGATGGTGGCGGCAGTGAGTATCAAGGGGGAGAAGAAGAATCAAAGGTGAAGAAATACAAGTTGAAGGAAGAAGAAGAAGAATGGGAAGAAAGAAAAATTGAAGGAAGAAGATAGTGGTGGTGGAGTAATTCTAGGGTTGATGGGAGTAATGAGGATGGGTGGGGAAATATAGAAAGGTTAAATAAGACATTTCATACAAAATAATTTTCCAAATAACGAAATTAGAAGAAAATTCTTGGGCGGGCCAAAAAGGAAAGTGAGAAGAACATTTCCAAATGGGAGAGTACTGATTTTAAGTTTCCTTTGTATTCTTGGTGATTGGAAAAAAATGGCTTAGGTGAACATATTTTGGAGCCACGAAAACCTCCATATGCCAAAAGCAAGTAGCTACCTGCTTATCTTATTTGCTCATTTTATGCAGTTTTTTGTCTTCACCAACATTTTTTCATTTTACTTTATAGGGCTAATTATGTTTTATGCTCATTAGTGAAACACTAGCAATTTTGGTTGGCAAACACTCAATTTTGGTTTTGCTGAAACTCATACTTACATTTGCAAACAGTACCATTTACCAAGTATACTTTTTACTTAGATAATCAATTATTTGTCGGGTGTTGCTAAATCCACTCTCATTTTGGCTAAATCCACCCCATTAATGATGAATTGACAATTTTACCCTTAAAAATACAAAAGATGGCGTTTAGATGCAAACCAACTTTTAAGGGTAAAATTATCATTTTGGCTAAGAATCACTTTTTTGTTCCCAAAGACAATCACAAACAGGGTCCAAGCTTTTCAAAGGCATAATGAACATATTGGTAAACATGACAGCTTATACGCAGTAGACCATAATCTTAAATGGAAATTAGCAAAACCATGGTTCAGAACTTTACCGGTGAGGTTTGCAGTGTCACTGCAAAATGATCCACTAACCAATCATTTCCGAATTAGCATTACCTAGTTTAATTGGCTATATACTATATCACCATCCTAACACAAAATTCCTCATACTGAATTCAGCCAGTAATGTTAAGTAACACCATTTCCTAGGCAGGGCAAAGGGAACTAACTAATGATCTTCAATCCTTCATTAGCTAGCCAACTCAATTTTAAGAATTCCATTCAGTCTTGTGATAAACAAGAACCAGTTCTATACTTCAGTTAATACAGTACTCTTTTGTTGAAAAGTTGTATCAATTAATGCAAATCCTTGCAAAGAGGTCATCATTACTTTGCAGTTATAATAGTATTAGTACCTTGGAACAACAAAAAATTACATGTAAACTATTTTACGAACTTAAGTCGGACAAAAATCTTTTTTTATGGAGTAACACATAGACATGCACACACATACAATCAGTGAAGGGGCCGGACTTATCTCGAAAAGCCCATTATTTAGAGTAAACACCATCCCATGTAACTCTCACACGCACCATAGTTATCACGGCATCAAAACGAGGCGCGGCGCCAACAAACCGTCAGGAGACTCAGGACACCTAGTTGACTATGCAATAAGTCATAAATGTTATAGTAACATTCATATAAATATAAAATGTATTGTAATTCATAAACCTAAAAAATCATATAAATGTTTCATATAATTTATTAAAATATTTAAAAAAAACACATTTCAAGCCCAAAAACCATAAGAAAAAACTATTGGAATCGCAGTCTGAACCCATTTCCATTGCAAAACAAATTTTCAATTGTAGAAAAAAACATTGAAACCAATCACAACATCATCATCATCATCATCTAATCAGCTATTTTTCCGTAGATAGTAGATATGTAAGTACCATAACATAAATGATTGCATGAGTAAAAAAACTGTGGCACTTAATGTCGTAGTGAACCGTGCAACCAAACAAAAAAGCAAATCCGAAAACATGACCGTCTAAGTGTCTAACCTTAGACAACTCGTGAAGCCTGTTGATCTCTGGTGTTATTGTTCTTACTGGTTCAGATGCTATTGTAAATTTAAATGGCAAAAACAGAGTTGGTAGACTTATTTGACAAAAAACAAGGACTTTTGCATCACCATGACACCTCGTTGTCGCCTCAAAAATGCAAAACGATGCATTTTTTATATCTGGTGGGTTGAACTACAATGATGACCTTCTCCAACTTTGGAGACGCCTAGGCGATACCATGATAAAAAAGAAACACACAATCCACATTTGATGTGAGATCCAAGGACTTCCCGTGGTAGCCCTAAATCCTCTTATATGCATGAACACTTCACACACACACGGAGCCACACCATGATTACAAAAAAAAATGTTTTAAAGGAATGACTAAGGCCAAAAGAAAGATTATTATACACCCTAGAATTGAAAAAATGTCTTTTGTGATAACTGTGCACATGTAGCACCAAGACTCAAACACATGGTTAGCATCAAATAAAAACTGACTGAAATTTTACTGTACTGCATTCTTTATGGGTGGAACAATGTAGATGATTGCTCAATTTTTGCATGATGCGTGCTGCCGTGCTCTTTCCCCAATACAATTCTTTTAAATATCAAGTATTAAAACTTAAAAATACTCTACAAGGTCAGGTCTATCATGCATAAAAGTGTAGCACGGTTAGGGCTAGGGTCTGCCTGAGTGTAGAATGCATGCGGAGCATAGACTCTTGCCTTGACCTTCAGAAACAGTGGACGCATATTGGCAAATAGTATAAAGAAGTAACAGAACCAATTGGGAACGATTGAGTTCAGATGTTCAGTTAAAGCACTCATGAAGAGAGGTATACATCAACAGCAATCATAGACAATTGAATGTGCAAGGATGTGGTCGTCTGGAATTTGAAGCAGTACATGTGGAAAACCAAAACAAATAAAACTACGTAGTAGTTATCAAATAAATGATTTGGCACCTTACCTGTCCCAGTAGCAAGTCGCACACATAGACACCCATAGTGGTCATTTTACCACTAGATCCAGGAGAGAATTCCTGCAAATAGGGAAGCGAAAGGATTAAACGTTAATGGGTTTCAAAAGCTGCATGGTAAGCATTTTAAGCATAAAGATATAAGGAAAATATAGTTTATTTCTTAAAAGTGATGCAATGCCTTATGTATTAAAGAAAAAAATAGAAGAAAAAAGATATTTCCTCTCCCAAAATAAACTTCTCATATCCATTTTTTGTTTGTCCTAAAATAAACTTCTCATTCCTTTTAAGGGAAGGATTAAATGGTTCACATCATCTCTCACTCCACTCCTAAATCTCAACCAAATGAAACTCATGTTTCTCAAACACCATGAAAAAGTAAATAGGAAGTTTAATTTGGGATGAAGGGAACATTAAATAGCATTTCCAAATGGCAATATATGATCAGAAAATGAATGTGACAGTAACAAGCATATTCATAAATCCCAAATTCCCATTAAACATACTCTCCCAAACCTTTACACCTGATTGAACTAACTAAAATGTTGATCAATAACTCATGCATTCATTTAAAAGAACAGTGACCCATCCTCTAAATGAGATTGTTAAAACAGCAAATGTAATGCTCTGGGTAGTAAATAAATTGGAAGGAAACACATTCACACCTCATCATCTTTAAGATATGGCTCATACCAACTCCATAATGTCTTTGGATCTGCATGATATCTCAAATATAGGAATCCCACCTGGAGAAGGAAAATTAATCAAACAAGACATTTAATCAAGCTTCTTAACAATGTGCATGTTGTAAGTCATTATTTTGTAAGGAATTATTTAAATTCCAACCTTATTGATATGCTAAAGATAAATTCTGATATTTTAAAGAAAATTTAGTTCCATTGAAAATGCCAAAACTAAAAAGAACTGTATAGCACAATTTTATAGACCATATCTTTCCCTGTAATTATGCCTATGAAGACTGATGGAAAAACTTTGCAAGTGAAGCTTCTTCATTGGAAAGAGAAGAGTGACTAAGGCTATAAATGAAAACTGATACTTCCAATGCATTGATGGCATGAGAATACTCACAGCTCTGATATATGGTGAATCAACGTGCTTCAAAAGGCCATGCATTTGTTTGACAGTGAGTTTCATTGTAAAAAACTTGTACAGAAGGCAGAATGCTGTTGAAGGACCACGGCAATTGCCAGTCATCCATGGTTCCACATGATCAACTTGATTGTAAATTTCATCAATCACTTCATGATATGTCTTCAGCCTCAAAAGGTCTCTAAAATAATCGGAAGAAAGAATGTTCATACACAGAACCTTTTCCAACAACTGATCAATTGATTTCCCGGAACTCCGAACCTCTGCCATGTCTTATAAAATACCCACACCACAAGTTAATCACCTTTCAGACTTAAATATATTTTCCCGCTGTAATGGTCAACAATCAGAAATTTGTTGGCAGGACTTGATCTCTATAACCAAAAGCTACCTGCAGCAAAAGAAAAATCATCACCACCACAATCTTCAAACATCTTTAAAATCACCTAAATGGGTGACATTATATCTATAGTAGTTATTACTTTATCTAAAGTCTATCTCACTATATATAACAATGCAGTTTGTTTTCGTAATTTTCCTTCCAAAATTGACTGAAAAAAAATGTTAGACACTTAGACTTACTAGGGCAAAAGGTGGGGCTTTGCCTTAACTATCTTAAGTTTTTTTCCTTGCTAAAGTATCTATCAATAGCTATTAAAAAGTATTTATCAGTTTGTTTATAATTTGCATTATTTTAAGTTTACTTTGTTATAAAACAAAAGAGATTGGGAAGTAAGAATTGTACATGGTGCTACAAAACACTTACAATAGCAATAATGATAGCAATTTCATGGTTCACAATAACATAATTAATAACCTTTTAGTATTCATATTCTTATAATCACGAAGATGATAGAGTTTTTCAATAAATGTTAAATCTTACACAATAGCAATTTAGCATCGCTGTTTCTTTTTTTTCTTCTTTTTTTTTTTTTGCCTGAGGGATAACAAATAGGAAAAAATGCAGATTTTCAATAGATAATATGGAGTATTAAAATTAAAGGTAGATACTTTAATCCAATAGATCGTACTAATAATATATTCTTTTAAAAGAATTATATCCCCTTTTATTCAATGAAAGTTTGTATTAAAAAAAAGTTCTTTTAAAATGATAAACACATACAGATTATTAAAGAAATAAAGGGACGAATTGAATCAGTCTGTTGTAAAGAACATTATATGAAATATAAAAAATTTTAAAAATATAACGGAGCAAATACTGATCTGAAACGTGAAAATAAGAGCTGTGTATAGTGGTGTTTCATACAAACCTTCGATAATAGCAGGGGCTAATAGAAGATCTGTAAACAAGCGATTCAGATTTGGAATTTGTACCTCCGAAAGTACAATTAATGGTAAAAACATCTACCAATTGTGTTTTACATATGTATAATTGAAACAAGACATAAGTTTTGATTGAGAATATGTGATTAGGGTTAAAGATAAAGCAGCGAAGAAGGGGATGGGGCGTAGGAAAAGAAATACCAGAGTATGTATTTGGAAGAACAGCGATGGAAAGAATTGTTTGTCGATTGGACGCTTTGGGAGGAAGCCAAAGTATAGTAAAAGAAAAAAGATTTGGACGACTATACACTCCCCATATGTAAGGATATAAGGAGTACTTTTCTCTCACATAAAAACTTTCATATTTTGACTTTGAAAAATAAAGATTATTCTCTCCGTCCCGTTATATTCGTCCACTTTTAACTTTTGGAATTGTCTATTTAAGCACTTTGACTTATCAAATTCTCTCAATGTGTAAGCCTAAATATAGTCATGTGTGATCTTGTTTGATTTGTCTTAACATATAGATTATTAATATATAGTTTCTATAATTTTTAATATACAAATTACAAGATAAAATGGATTAAAGAAGTGTATTGGATGGTGTTGTAAAAATGAAAGTGGACAAATACTCTGGGACGGAGGGAGTATATATTTATGAATATCTGTGTGTCTATTAACTATTTTGATCAATTAAATACATTTTAAGCTTTTTATTTTGTACCGTGAAAACAAAAAAATATAGACAACCTAAAAATAAATACACAACATGGACTATTTTTATGTAGAATTATAAAAACTATTGTGAATTTTTTTTATGAAACTACTTAATAAAAACATTTTGAATTAAATAAATTAAGATGTTTATTAAAATAGAGCATCAAAGTGTAACACGAAATATAACAAGTAGAGTTTTAATGTTTAGGTCTTTTAGGTCCTATAGGGTTATTAGTCCCATTCTTTCCAATGGGTCTGAATAAAGTAAACGAATAAAATACAAATATGACGTAAACATAATACTCCCTATGTCTCATAAAAATAGGGACAATTTGACTAAAGTTGTAAAATAATGAGGAATAATTTTGTGTTGATTTTCCAAAAATACCCTTGATGTGATGGGTAAGAGTAGGATGTGATGTGTAGATTATTTGAAAAAAATATGATGTGATAGGTACAGTATGAAAAAGTAAGAGGTAAAAGTAGTTTGTTAATATAAATGAGGATGACTTTAAATGACACAATTTTTTAGAAACAAGAATGACTTTATGGGACAGAGTGAGTATTATCCAATGAAATTTGGGTTTTTGGATAGTGATGGTGTAAATATCGTGTAAATATTAAGTAATAATAAGCGAAAAGGCTGTAGGAGAAAACACCTGTAACCCGGTTTGTTATTAATGATAGTAGGACCGTTTACAAAGCTACAAGCCGTGTGGGTTAATTAAAGTATGCCTCACAAATGAGGCTTTTTGTCCTATTTATAATAATGACTAAGCATGTCAAACACGTCTCCGTTAATCTGGCCGGTCAGTCTCCAACCGGTCAGTACGCATGCCTTTGTCAGGCGAAGCCATGTTCCTGATACTGAATCTTCTCATACCCGACCGGTCAGACTATCCGAGCTGACCAAGTTGTGAGGCGTCAGATTTAGGTTCCTCCCGGTCGGTTGCGAACCTACCGGGTGGAATCAATGGGTTATTACCCATCAGATAAGTTTCGAGAAAAGGTGACCAACGACATATTGTTTGTCAAGTTTGGAATTTTGTGTGAACCATGATAATCAAAATAAATGTTACAGTTCAATAAATAAATATAAAGAATTTTATAATATAATATTATTATACAATATCATGGAATATGGAATGATCCTATGTTAGTAAAATTGATTGATAGGTTCCTATTCCGGATAAACCCCACACCTCCCGTCCTAAAAGGCTAAAAGCACTCCCACCCCGAGGCTGCTGGCCCTTACTACTGGCGTCCACCCCAGGCGATCATCCTCCCACGGGCGAACTCCGGAGAGCATGGCTCTAGGCATGGCGGTCTCTCCGTCGAAGACCCAACTCCGGCGTCCAACTAGCGATCCACAGACCCGACCCACAAAGAACAGTGAAACATCCGATGTGAGATCTTTCATATTTTTTATACCCTTTATTCTCATTTCACTCCAACTTTATCCTTTTTGCTTCTAGATTCATTTGGCCAAGGGAGTTCCCCTATTTCTATTTCTCCACTCTTAAACTAGGTTTTTTCGTATTGTTATGTCATTTTGTTTTGGAAACTCAAACATTTAAATTTTAACTCTTTAATCTTCATTTACTTGCTTTGTAATAACACTTTGATTTCCTCCATCTTATTTATGCTTTTCATTTATTTGCTACTCTCTTATCTTTCTAAGCATTCTTACGTTTTAGCATGCTAGACTAGATTATCTAGCCTAGGTTAGTGATAGATTGTTAATATTATGTTGTTGTCATTGGATTATCATCGATTTTGGGATCTTGATTTAGATTGCTTGTGGAGATTGTGCTTTAGTAAGGCTTGTATGTTATTGTTAGCCACTGTGACATACTTGTATTTCGGAATGAGTTTTAAATCACAAAGGAATTAGGACTCAGAACCCTAGCCATGAGAAAGTCTTACCGCGGGAGTGGAGGATACTTGAGCAGCTTTTTGGCTTGATTGTAGTTCTCTTGCGACGAGCGCCATAGAAGTAGGCTCTTATCTAGGGAATTCTTTTTTGATTTCCATAGAAGTGAGAATCAAGGTGATTTGCTCGCTATCTTGTTGATTTTCCTCTTTCCTCTAATTATTTGACAATTTGCATTGTTAGCATTAAATCTCTAACTTGGCTTGCTTTCCTTTTACTTCTTGCATTTCATTTTTAGTCTTGTTCATTGCATTAGTTTAGTTTCATTTCACTTGCATATCATTCACCTTCTATGTCTCTAGGGCTTGACTCACATATTGCAATTCAATATTATTGTTGAATTACACTCTGCACTTGAATCTCAACCAATATCACTATGCCAGTGGCGACATCCGTACTCTACCACTTTACTTACTCTCTTACTATTTCTAATGCTCTTCCATATCATTTCATACACTTTTTGATTCGAGGTCTTTGGTGTTTAACGGCGCATAAAAGATTATTTGCATCAAAACTGGCACCATTGAGGAATAAAAGATGCATGCAACAAAAGGGCAAATGCTACCAAAGCATACACCACAAGATTGTATATACTCGGGAGTTTTTCGACGTGCGATACTAGTATTGCACCTTGAGAAACACCAGTGGATCAATTTCATGTGCGTATGCTTTGGTAGCATTTGTCCTTTTGTTGCATGCTTGTTTTATTTCCTAGCGGCGCCTAAGACCGCACCTTTAAATAACACCAGTGGATACACAATCGAAAAAATAAGTAGAATAAGTGCACAATCGAGTAACGAGACAAGTGTGTTTTTTGCATTTTTGGAGTATACCTCAATGGAGGGTTTGAGCTATGGAATGTACCTTGTTTGCCCAAAAAAAGCATGAGCGTTTGACGATAGTCTCCTAAGGTAGATACTTTAAGATGTGTGCCACATCTTTTTTACATCACCACTCCCCCACCCACCCCGCTCTCGCCTTCTTCAAGCAAGGTCTATTTTCTGTTTTTAGTACAACAATCAAACAAATAAGTTAATAAAAAATAATTATCTCACCAATTTCCTCACTAACTAAACAAGATAAATAATTTTAGTTTATTTGACTTCATTTTTCTTGATAGTCTCCTAATATTTTCTTCTCCAGCCAATCATCCGACATACTTCACTACCATATATATGCCCCTCCACTTAAAGGCATTAAAGGTACTTACTTCTGCATTGTGTTATCTCAATGAAAACTAAGTCCTCTTGAGCTTGTCTGTCGTTAACTTGCTTGGTTCTCTTCTCTATGTTAATATTTTTCAACGTATTCTGTATAGACTGTATACTAATTTCCATGGAAGCGCTCGATTTCCAATTAGCAGAACTGCAGGTGAGGTTTTGAAGGCTGCATGATGGCTTGCTCTCAATGAAGCACAAGTCTGAACATATTGACACGTTTCAGGTTCTTTTTGCTTTTGCATTTTTCTTTTTCTTCATGGTTCAGGTTGATCTCATTGACAACACATTTGTGAGTTTCTTAAGCATTCAAGTAATAAATCCAATAATTAGCGAGCTCATCTTATTTTAACAATGATAATAAGCTTACCCAAGAGTACCTCTAGATTTGACAGGCCATCTCACATAACCAGGCTGGGTGTGGACCTTAAGAAGTAGTACTAATCATATTTCATTTCCTTAAGTTGGGTGAGAGGTTTCTTACATGTAGACATGTTATGATATATTTGAAATAAAACTCTAATAATGTTTTTTCGTAATTTTTGAATCGTAATTTTGATAACTACTGTGTTAGATGTGTACATTTCTGATATGTTTGATTATGTCACAAATGAGAATTTTTCTTTCTTGATTCAGCTAACATAAGTTGATTGCTTGCATCATTATTTACATTTTGTTCTTCAATAGTCATCTTGATGTCCTAGAACTCATATGCTGCTGCATATACTTCATCTTGCCCAGAATAAATTTTACAATTTGATTTTTATGGTCAAAATTTACAAACTTTGACCATGTTTAGCATTAAAAAATATATTGAGTTATGATTTAAGTTTAATGACACTAGATTCATTTTCGAATATAACATTAGAATATATTAAATTTAATCATATAATCATCAAAATTAGAGTCAAAGTGTCACATTGTCAAAAGTCAAACTTTGAAGTTTATTTTGGAAGAGAGAGAGAGTACATGTTTTCCTCTTTCTTTTACTTGGAGTATGCTCATCACCTAATACATGTTTCCTGTTCTGCTATTTGAGTCGGGATGCAGATGACAAGTAGTCCACTTAGAACACAACAATGGAAGAAATTGATAGGATGTAGAATAATTGTATTACTCAAGATTTGAATTTTTTTTAAACGTTCCAAGCTTAGTTTTGACCATAAATTGAGAGCATTGAAAAGCACCAAATGCCTCAGATTTATGTTAAAGAGAGTAAATTCAACAACACTTAGAGTCCGTTTGGTATACGGAATTGACAGAAGTGGAATTGAATTGAGAGTTGAAATTTTATGTAATTGATTTGGATGAAATTGAATTCTCCAATTCCAATTATTTTTGGCACTACCAATTGCAATCAAACAGCAGAATTGGAATTGTTATCCACAATTCCAATTCCATAGTTTGAATTCCGGGTACCAAACGGAGCCCTAGTAAAATTATCCACAAAATTAATATAAAAATGGTAACCACCAAAGGAGAGGAGCTTCGCTACGTTTCTACCTTCCAAGCACCCCAACCCACACCCTAGTCATGGGATTTACTGTGCAGGGTTTTGTTATTGTTGTGATCGTAATTTTGAAAGGCGAGCGCCTCCCTTGCCTAAGGCACCTCAGGCATCCGGGCGACCTTTTACCGCCCTTTAGATGTTCAGGCGAGGTGCAGTCCGCCTGAGTCGCTTGCTTTTCTCGCCTGAGTTGTACGCCTTTCTCGCCTTACTGGCTATGGGTCTTTTAAAAAACGAGTTTGCATTTTTTTAAATACATTTCTATATATTAAATACTTGTTTTTTTGAGAAACATATGTAGTAACTACTCTAATTATTTTGTTTAACAAGTGACTTGCTTGGGATTGACATTATTAATTGCACTGCACTATATATTTTATGTATGTGTGTGTATGCCCCAATTTCGCCTTTTGACCGCCCGCCTCTTGCCTCGCCATTGGCCTTAAAAAATGCCCTCTCGCCTTGAAATGACTATAAGGGAAACAAGATTCTTTTATGGGACGAAGAACGTATTTCTTGTGGATTTCCTTATGTGACTGAGGAAGTATTTGACAACACTAGGTAAATATTCTCATAAGAGTTAGTACTCTCTTCGTCCGGAAATGTTTTTCCTGCTTGATTTTTCACGGTTTATGATGTTGCACTTTGACCATTAATATCTATATCTATACATAGATATATTTTATAAAAAATTGGGATTTCAAAACTATTTTCCAATAGGAATATATTAATGTTAAATTTATATTATAATACAATATATTTTTTTTCTACATGCCGGAGTCAAAGTTTACAAACTTTGACAAAGAAACATCAAATGTAAAGATTATTTCCGGACAGAGGGAGTAGACGGTAAAGACGGTTTTTTGGTGTCTTAGTGGCACATATTTGTCTTTTTTTTGGAGATGGGCATCTACACCATTTTTTTAATTCTCACACGTTCTTTAAAAATATAAAAATAATACAATATTGTTTTCTGGTACTTCCATAAAATTCAGATATATGCTTCCTTCATTTTTAAAATGGATACAACGTTTTATAATCTTCACATTTGCCAATGCATATATTTAATCGTTTAAATCTTCAATTATGTTTTACGGAGTAAAAAAACTAAAATAAAAAAAAAAAAAACAATTCTACTGAAAATTTTCTATAAAGACGAATCTAATAAGATCTCATGTGACCATGTTTTTTAATTATAGATCATAAAAGATGTTCAAATGGGGGTGTGTGAATAGTGAAAAAATTTGAATTCTACATCTATTTCAGAAAGGAAGAAGTATAGTTTATCATTAATTAGATTTATCTTTTGTAGATTGCCTGAAGAATAAATATTTATGTAGAATTTGATTTGGGAGAAATCTCTAGCTAGGAGTAAAAAACTAAAAAAATACTAAAATAAGAGTTATAAATCTTTTATGACCAAAATAGGAATTCATGTTGTCATTGTTACATTGACACACTCACGACATTGTCACATTGTAATTGTTACATTATCACTGCCACATTGTCATCCGTCCCCGCCGGTCACTAGAGTGCCGCCGCGGATTACCGACGATTGACTGATCATACTAATATATTACATTGTCACTACTTTTCCATCACACTGTCAACGCATACTCTTACGTCACACTGTCAATATATTCTTATTTTTGGTATTAAAAGACTTAGAACTTTTATTTTGATATTTTCATAGTTTTTTACTCATATCTAAGTAGATTTTTTTTAGATTTTTCAAAAAAATATTGGATTTATTATTTTATTAAAAGTATATATTTTGGTTTTAATTTGTCCATGTACTCATTCAAAGTACTGTTTTAATTCATGAACTTTAATTCCAACGGATTTAGTCTATATACTCCGCAAACATTCCAAAAAGTACTACTTCGTATACGCCAATTTGTGGATGAGTTAGTAAGATGGTGAAGTGACATTGAAGTTAAAGATTTATTTGTAATTAAGTGAATTAACAGAATGGTTCAAACACAATGAATGTAAGAACTTGATTTGACTACTCTCAAATGCAATGGATCAAATATAGCAGATGAATGTCAAGGACTTCATTTTTTCCCTGGTTTCAAAAATTATTTACATAGGTTTGTTTGGACGAGGAGAGAAAATGAGAAAAGAAAATGGTGAGAAAGTGAAATGAAAATATCAGTGTTTGGATTGATAGAAAAAGATAAGAAAATGGTGAGAAAAGATGGAAAGAAATTAAAGAGGGGAAGGAGGTTTGTGCCGGTTTTCTCATTGAGGTGGGGGAGAAATCTTTTTAAGTGGGACCCACAACATTCTTTACCAAGAAAGGAAATGAACTTTTATATTTGAACGAATACAAAAGAAAAGTTACATGTTTATTTTGGAACGAGGGAATAGTAGTAAGAAAATTATTGCTACTACCTCGGTCGAAATTATTTGTTATGACCTCATTTTTTATGAAATAAGTAAAAAAATGTCAAATACGTCTTTCAAATGCGTCCGTTAGTCATTTATGTCAACAATGCTCATACTCTATCTGTAGGGTATTTTATACGACACGATATAATTGTTAAATTGAATATGAAAAATGGACAATTAATTTCGGAGAAACAAAAATAGGAAAGCGGACAACTAAATCGAGATTATTTTTTTTGGAGGGTGAGGTATGAAACTAGAGCCGTACCTTATTGCTTGCCTAATGCAGAGATGGATGTAAAAGGATAATAGAGGGAATAAGGGTCAAACAAATTACAACCAAGCATGCATGTTAGGGCCAGATCTGGGTGTGTCTTGGATTAGATATCATCTGGGTGTGGGCTATTACTTCTTGCTGTTCTTCTTGTTCTTGTTCATTCTATCTCCTTAAAATATTCCTACTGGATAACATTATACACAGAGCTTCTTGATTCTTGTAGGGTAGGGTCTTTCAGCCAGATTGGCCTTAACTGCCATTTGGACCCCACCTTCCCACATGCACTTTCCCCCCCTACCCTTTTTCACTCACTAGCTAACCCTTCAATCTCTTTTTGTTCTCTCTATTTATATCCCCCCTTTAAGAAACAACCCCTTCCCATTGGAGAGCTGTAGAAAACCAAAATATTCCTTAGCTTGTTACACTTTTTGATATTTAAGATTCTGTTTGTGAATTTGAAGAAATGGAAGTAGCAGTTGAGCTTGAAGATGACCTGTTTTTTGCAGACATAAGCAAGCAAATATCTCTGCTGATAATGGAAGATGAGGAAGAGCCTGTTTTTGCTACATGCCCTTCCGTTTCCTTCCAGGTTTTTACACTCCCTCATATACAAACATCATCAAATAAGTTAATAGGATTAATAATACTAACAGTTTGTGTTGCTGTATATAAAAAAATGGCCAGTTTCAGACATTTTCTGGGCCACATTTTCCAGCAAGGCCATCTCCATATGTGCATCTTCAAGAGCAAATTTACAGAAGAGAGATTAGAAGCAGCAAAGGCACAGGGGTGTTTATCCCAAGGTCTTCCCAGCCAACGGGCCGCAAGCATCATTATAAACCAGGAGGAAGAAATGCGTCTTCATTCGGCGCGAAATCTAACGCCGGGCAGCATCCTAACACTACAAAAATGGTTTCTCAAGCAAGGAAAGGCTAAAGGGTATAATTAAACTTGGATTTCCATAAAAGAAGTGCAGGTTTATTATTGAGGATTTCATGTTTATTGTTATGATTCTGATTTTTATTTTGAGTATTGGTTCTGTTATTAGTGAAGAGGTTTCTCCCTAAGGGTAATGCCTCCATAAATCTTGGAAATGTATGGTGATCTTTGTACAAGTGTGATATAAGTGAAATAAGTACTTGTTCACTTAAATGTGTTTTGGACTCTATTTATAGTATGATTAGAAGGTAGATTCTTGATCCTTATCTACCTAATAATTAGCAATTAGGTAATGCCCTTGAAACTTAATGGGACCCTATGAGTCTTGTCAAAGGGCCATGAAAAGGAAAATAATGAGAATGAAAGGCTTTTGGTTGAAGCTAATACTAGGTGGAAATAGTACTCCTTAGACAACTGGATGCAGGTCTATACATGATAGGCCCAAGACATTCTGCATCACTTATTAAAGGAAGGTCATGTTAATTTGTTTACTCACAATGTTTGTGTAATGTTAAAATCAAGAATGTTGGTGTAAATGTATTGTACATGTGCCATTTTTAAAAGGTTATAACTATTTTTCAAAAATTAATGATTATAACTAAGCTGTAGAAGTATATTTAAGTTGATTGAGCAATTGAAATCTCTCATAGAGAAAGCAACATTATGAGCTTTTCTTTTTCATTGTTTCCAACTACGAAGATTTAGCAATGGAATACATAGTGTTTCTATGGCGGACCTAAGTCACACCAGTATTTTGTGGGCTTTTTTACATTCTTTTAAATTGCTCATCTTTAATAAGTATTGATGATTACCTCGCTCATCTATAGGTGCACCGCGGACATTAGCTTCATGGTAAAATTTACTTCTAAAATACAAGTTTGAATCGTTTCAAGTGAATTACATTGTACTTTCTCTATTCACATTTGACTGATCATTATGACTTTTATGATACATAAAAAGTTAAATAAATATAACAAATGTCATGCTTATATTAAACCAAATTTTAATGTATCACAAATATCGTACTCCCTCTATCCATAAAAAGGTTTCACATTTCTTTTTTCATTCGTGCCCAAAAAAGGTTCCATTTTTCAATCTTAAAAATATGAATTCTAATCCTTATATGAAAGTGTACTGGCATTGTAACTTAGACTTGAATTGAATGAAAATTGTGTGTTTTGTAGTCTTGTGTAGGTCGGTAAACTTGTGAGAGTTTTGACAACTTGTGAGTTGTAAAATCACACCTTTCGTGTTGCTACGACATGTCTCGTAGAGGTCTAGAAGCTACTCCCTCCGTTTCTTAAAACTCTTTCTTTTTCATTTTTTTTGTTTTTCTTAAAACACTTCCCTTTTCTATTAAAAAACCACTTTTACCCCTACTTTTTCATACCCTACCTATCACATCATACTTTTTCACTAACAACTAAACTATCACATCTTACTTTTACCCATCACATCAAGGGCAAAATTGGAAAGTCAACTACAATTTAACACTTTCTTATTTTCTCCCAAAGTCAAAAGAGGAATTCTTTTGAAAAACGGAGTAGTATAAACTAGTGAGTTCCAAAAGCTCAATATTGATATCGCCGCGACATGTCTCGTGGAGGTGCCTAAATCATAGACAATCTGTCTCTAGATCATCTTATCCATGTTCATATAAAAGAAGTCAAAATCCTCCTTCTACTAGCCCGGCCGGCCCACAGCATGCGCTGGGAAAGCAGCGGACAGTCCAATATTTGAAAGGGCCCAATTTCTAATAATTTTGTAATTATGAAATATTAAAAAAAGAGTAAATTTCATAATTGGTCCTTTATAACAGGGGGGTTTCCCTATTTAGTCCTCTATTATCAAATATTACCCCAGTGGTCCTTCTTTTATAGGTATCGTTCCACAAAGTCTTTTTTTATCTTCAATCATGTTTGTGCTAATTTGAGGGCTAAAAGTGTAATTTCACAATGATAATATATCTTTTTTGTCATACACAATTCCAAAGGCTGTTCCGTTTGCGTTGTTTGTGAATTACAGTCGCTTTCTACTACAACCATAGTCTACAAATGTGGTCTTTCGTCTGAATCTTAGCCCACAATCATAGTCATTATTTTTATGTTATTCGCTTAACCAATATCAAAACACGTCACTAGACTAATGTTGATGTCAAATTATGCTTTTAGCCTTTAGATTAACACTAACATGGCAGAAGATCAAAAAAGACCATTTGTGGAAAGGCACCCTTAAAAAAAGGACTACAGGGGTAATATTTGATAATAGAGGACTAAATATGGAAACTCCACTGTTATAAAGGACCAATTATGAAATTTACTCTTAAAAAAATTATTTCCTCCATGCTTCAGTCCACTTTGCTTCCACATTTTCTACGATTAGCTTTTCCTATTGGCTTTTAGATCTAACGGATTCATCACCCTATTTCCCTCTCTAAAATGGATTTTTTTACACCATTTACTTTGAATTTTTTAAAAATTGTACGAATTTTCTTGACTTTAAAAAATACACCAATGTCTGTAGACTTTTAAAAATACTGGTATTTTGACCCGTGCCACACACGGGTTCAAATAAATTTTTTGTCGATTTTAAAAAAAATTCTTTAATTTTTAAGATTATTTTCTTTTGGATTCTAACTCTACTTTTTTATGTTAGATTTCAGAGTGCTTCTCTGATGCATCTTGGATGCATACCATTTTTTTGGACTTTTGCACATCAAAACTTTTTTTTTTTAAATTTTTATTAAAAATAGATACTTATTTAAAAGTAAGAAAATACTTATTTTGCTCATGTGTTGATCCATGGTGGACCTTAGATCCAACATAGAATTTGCCTAAGTTTCATAGTGGTAGGAGATCATTTTTCTTGGAAAAATAATTTCTAAAAGAGGATAAAATGGCTTTTGTTTATTTTTGATGAAAATTCATTTTTTACTCAATCCTCAAATATTCTGATTCATCGATCGAGTTCAAATATTCTGTTTGTTTTGGAGGAAAGTTCATTTTTAAGGTTGTGCATTATTACATTTTAAAAATTAAAAATTGTTTATGCTTGAAATAAAGAAAATAAAAATATAACACATATTCTATCTATCTCAAATTAAATATTTTTATTTTTATATTCTATAAAATGAAAAAAAAAAACTACTTTTTGGGACGTTCAAGAAAATGAGGAATAGAAAAATAAAATAAAATATAAAAAAATAGCAAAAAGAAGTGAAAAAAAGAAACAAAAAATATTCTATTAGAAAACATAAAAGCATAGCCATATCATGGATTGGGGTGATGATTTTTGGGATCGCTAGAAAACTCTTTATTTTTTGAGATGTCTCAAAAAATTATTCTTATTAATTTAAAAATAAAAAGAGGACATTTATTACAATATATTGCAATTATTAGGTGTTGGCCCAAAAAAGTTTTTATTTTTATTATTCTTAAAGAATTTTATCCAAAAATTTAAATTTTTGGACGTTCTAAGAAAAAAACCTTATTAGTGTACTTTATGGATAAATTTCTCCTTTTCAATAAGAGAATTTCCGTATCTTTTTCTTTTTTCATTTCCTTTTTCTATTTTTTGTGTTCTTTCTTTATTCTATTTTTTCATTTCATTTAAAAAAAAAAATTTTTTTTACCTTTGAAAATAAAAAGAAATTTTTTTAAACTTAAGATAGAGAAAAATTATGTTATTTTTTATTTTTTTATTTCAAATACAAACCAGTTCGAATTTAAAACATTGTAAAGAACAATTTAAAAAAGAAGTTTAAAAATGATAATAGGCATTGATGCCCATACGGATTGGAAAATTGGCATCAATGCCCCTCTTTTTAATGCAAAAATGAATGGAAAATAGTATGAACCGAGGTGGTGTGTGCGCGATCTTTGGAAATGATGGACATTATTTTTAAATAAATTTTGAAAACAAATGGGTTTTTCATACATATTTTTCAAACCACATGGAGCACTAAAAATATTTTAATATATTTTATTCCAAAATATATGTTATCATTCAGTACTCTAAACTATAAATATATGTACATCAAGGTTATATTTTTTTTAATTCTTAATTTTTACAGTAATGTTTTTTCTCTATAAAAAGTTATGTTCCAATAAAAAAATATAGGCCCAAAAAGTCTTGCTAATAAAGATGATGAATTTTTTTTCAATTTGTATTTCCTTATGTAAATATTTTCACTTAAAAATAAAAGTTTTATCCTTTATAAGCACTCTTAATTTCATAAAAAACTATTAAAAATCATGGGTACCGTGATGTGGAAATCTATAATACCTTATAACAAAATTTAAATCTTGATAAAATTTCTTTAATTTAATATTTCTTGTTATATATTTAAGGAAATTATAATTATTAAAGAAGTTATGGAATACATTAAACCATAAAATTTTTCTTATTAAAAATTATCGAATATAATATTAAGACCCATAAAATATTAATTTTCAATGATAAATTTTTCATATTTAATTATGTGATACAAGTTGAGCTATATTTTAGCTTAATAATTTTCCATACAAAATAATATATTAATAATTTTTAGAAAATTATATTTTACTCAAAAGACTTTTAATACAAATGTTGTTTTTATGAAAAGAAGATGCAGACTAATCATGATTAGTTTCTTTTTTATGAATAATTTATTTAATTTTTGTTGAAAAACTATAAATTTTATTTCATTTAAATAATTTTAAATAAGTTCAAAAGTCCATGATTTTTTTAATAAAAAACATATTGTTTTAAACTCATCCATTTTTAAAGGTTATGATAAATAATTTTTCATAAATGATGAATGAGCATTTAAAGTATGCCATGTAATTTATTCATGTGCCATTTATGTAAAATTTTCCATGTAAGATGCCTCATGTCAACATCTTGGAGACATGAGTTTCAAATATTATAGTATAAAGGAAAGGATTTAGATAGGGCTGTCAACGGATAGCCGAAAATCCGATTACCGTCCGCATCCGTATCCGTTTAAAAAGGGAATATCCGCATCCGTTTTAAACGGATATTATCCGTATCCGATTACTAAACGGATACGGATTTGGTAATTGTATATCTGATCCGTTTAAAATCCGATCCGAATATGCATCCGTTTAAATAACCGTTTATCCGAATATCCGATCCGTTATATATAGTTTTTCCTAATTTTTTATGTTTATAATTTGTTTCTCTATTGATATTTCAAAATATAAGACATTTTTATATACAAAATAAATGTGTAGACACATAAAAATATATACAGACACATAAAAATATGTGTATATGTGTGCTGTGTATATCTTTTTATCATATGAAGTTATCGTAGAATATCATAAATCATGAAAACAAAGAAAACAATTATCTCATACCAAATTATTATTGATTTAATAATAGTTTGACTTTAATCTAATTTAAAATTAAAGTATTGTTTAATTTGATTTTAAAAATTGGAAACGGATACGGATATATCCGATATCTGACCGATATCCGACGGATGCGGATACGATTTTGATTTTCAGTATCCGTCAAGTTCCGTATCCGAATTCGATATCCGACAAAAATAAATGGATACGGATTTGGTAATGGCACATCCGATCCGATTAATATCCGTTTACACCCCTAGATTTAGATAATAATAAAAAAATATGAAAATACCAAAATATGAGTCTTAAGTCTTTTAAGACCACAATAGGAGTTCACATTGTCATTGTTAATTGCCACTCGCCACATTATCACATTGAAACTGCTACGCTATCACTGCAACACTTTCATTTGTCACCGCCGGCCACTAGAGTGCCGCCACAGATCGCCTATAGTTGAGTGATCTGAATTTTATCTTTCTAGAGCATATTGTGTAATACTTTCCTGCACTCTTCCAATACTTAATAACAATTGGACTATAGGTGTTTCACCTACAGTTCTACCGGTCACTTCTTATTTTCTGCACCTTACATTCTCTAAGCTCAGCAGACTATCTTAGACCTGGTCTAGTACAGTTTGTCCAGGTGATTTTTTTTAAATAAAGTGCATTTTATTGCATATAATTAATTGTTTATAAAATATAATTTCACATTACCTATTTTAAAATGTTTTACACTCAATAAATATTTGAAATAAAATTCATTATTCTTTTCATTTCAAATAGTATATAAAAAATAGGGGGTGCTGCCCTCGGACCCCTGATTAATGATTTCCCCTTCTAGCTTAATTCCTGAATCCGTCACTGCTTTAGTCAATAATAAATATACAATTCAAATACGGAAACCGAAACAAGCGATTTAAGTTAGAACGAATGAGGTAATTCTTTTTTTAGTTTTGGATTTTTATAACTTTTTGGTCTCTAAAAAACTCCTTAATAATCATCTTTTTAACTTTCAAGGTAGTTCAATGAAACAAGAAAAAAAGAACATTATTCATTTTTTAATTTTAAGATAAATATGAACAATTTATACCCAAGAAATTGTTAGCACCACTAATAAGTACGGCCGTACGGAGTATTCTACTTTTTTCCTTCTATTTCAATCTATTATAGATAGGAAAATGCTGGAGTGCTCTCAAATGATTGCTATCATATTCATGGGTGTACCCAAGCTTTGTAGAGATTATCATCTATGTCGCAGAGACAATGATCATTTTTCTTATCTGTATAAAATTTGAGTACACCCATGATGGTAATTATTTGGACACACCCGAGCATGGTCTTTAAATGTATATTCAGAATGTTAGACATGGTCATCCTTTAATATAATATTTGAGAGTTGATAGTCTAATTGTTAGGAAGGAAATTCCAATACTTAATTGTTATTAAGCTGTAGTCCAATTGTGTAAGCGGTAGTCCGAGGTGTAAGCGGTAGTCCAATTAGGTCTTCCAATACTTAATTGTTATTAAGCTGTAGTCCAATTGTTAGGAAGGAAATTCTAATTTCGAAAAAAAACAGAGAATAATTTTAAGGAAAGAAAATAAGAAGAAATTGGGATTTGGCATTGATTGATAAAGGAAGAAGAAGGAAGATGATTGCGGAAGAAGGAAGGAGATCGTGGAGAAGGCACGTATTCTTCTGGATTTTCTGGATTAGAAGGAAGGAAATACTTTTTTTTGAATGCTCGGGCGAAATTCTAATTCCTCAACGTGGGCAGCAACCGTCCAGAACAAAAGCTCTCATTGGTATTTGTGAATTCGGTATGTCAAATTGATTCGGTCAGTGTATCAAATATGTGTTTGAATTGGAAATAGAAATTACATGAAAATAGTGATAATTTTAATACCTATTTATTTCAAGATTAGGATTAACCCTTTAAAATTGATTAATTATATCCGTTTGGGGTTCAGATCTCTGTTTTGAAAGACAATTGCATTGTGTTGGTGTTCTAAAATAAAAATTGTGTATTTGATCAAATTTGTCATTGTAATACAGAATAATTTATTTACATTCATTTGTAGCACCATATTTTTTTAACTTTTTGTTTGCCACAACCAAGATTACCCATCTCCTTTAATTTCGAAAATTATCCTTAGTGGTGAGTGTGAGGGTTAAAGTGATATGAGTATCAATTAAATCAAGAAAATTGAATGAATTTATTCTCTTGAATTTGTATATTTTTATGAGCTTATGGAAGTAATTTTTATTTCAATTGAGATGCTTCATCTCTTCTTCACTGAAAGTGGTAACTATTTAGGGTAAAGGTAAGTAGCCTTTGTTCTTAGTCAATGCTCCTCCATATCGAAAATGAATCTAATTTACAGCGCAATTCCTGCAGAAGGCGATGCCCTCCATTAGATGATTTCCAAGGTAATTCTTATTTTTGGCAATTCTTATGCATATTTAATTCGTATTCTTCCTAGATTTTACAGTTCATATTGATTGTATAGCAAAACCATTAATTTTAGCTTTACATGGCACGATCCTGACATTTGTTTGTTTGGTTAGGTTGATCTTGGATCTACTATTTGGTATGTTTTTCAAACAATAGTAGTGTTAAAAATCAAAACTGGAGCTCATACCTATTGTTGCTTGGATGGCTAGTGAGCGACAGAGCTGCCAACTGGAAACCAATTCTGGACTATCTTTTCTGAAGCAGAGTGGAAGGGGGTACTCGCTGGAAGGGAACTTCAAGAGGCGGTGGAACATCATATTCAAGGTAAGCTCAATGTCATAACATCGAATCTCCTGACCTAAAAAATCCCTAGATTATCTTCAGTTGCTCGAAATATATTTACAGAGTATTTTTTTTACTCGAATTTTATTCCAATTACTCCTATTTGTGAAAATTGGGCGTGTGTAATTACATACATAATTTAGAATCATAATATGTGAATTAATGGCACGAGGAAGACACTCTAAGGCTCAGATCTAAAAGATTACATTGTTCATTTATACAAGTACAAAATTAGAAACTAATAGATCAAAGCTCTCTGTTTATGTTTTGATTCAGTTTTTTTGTGGTTTCCACAAATTGGTTGAAAAAAAATGAGATTGTACAATACTTTTTCATGCAGTTTGGCAAACAAAATATTTGTTCATTTTCTTTTCAAGAGAAATGAAAGTATCGTATATCGTTTGTTCCAACACATAGGAGATGCAGAGAGTGAGAAAAGTAAATCTTAAGTAAGTCTTTTTTGGTATGCTTAAGTGCTAGGATTTTTGTTAAATTTTAACACAAATATTATTTTTATCTTCTCATGGATGACAATTATAGGTCATTGTTTGAGAGTTGAATTTCATTTTCTTTCTCTATGGCAATATTTGTTATCTTCTCATCGCTGAGGATTATGAGGTGCGAAATTTTATAATTAGCATTAAATTCTCTACAAACAAGTCTCATAGAGTCATAGGTGGGCTTACATACTATGCTATTTTATTTTTCATGGCATTACTCATATACTAATTGCCATTTGATCTGAGAATTGACTATCTATTGAGACATTTGAATATGAACAGATGCACTATATGCTCATAATTTGGAATTGCATGTGCAGCAAATCCTTTTGTCTCGAAGACGTTTTTGAAAGAAAATTTTGTTCCTTTCCTATGTTAAAAAACAATAAAGTAATAGTATAGTTTGATCAATCTGAAAATTAAATAACCCACTTGCCTAAAGCAATAATAAAATGGAGCATTTTAATTCCTAAAGTACATAATATCCATGATGTGTAGAAATTATTGATTTTTTAGGAAGCTCCACATTGCTTGAGTTCCTTTCTCTCTCTTTTTTTTTGCTAAAAATATAAGAATATAATGATTCTCAAATGCTGTATATTTAGGAGTAGACTATGCATTAGATTGTTGGGCTACATCTCAACCCTCAAGAAACAATTCTTTGAAAGCTCATCAAGAACGAGTACTTCACATCACACTCCCAAACCAGGTTTTCAGAATGTTTTGTTTTTTCACATGATGTTTATTTCCTCATGGAGATTTTTTTTATGTTGCATAACAAAAAACATAATGGTTTCCATCCTTCTAACATGTATTTTGGTGATAACCAGAGTCAACAAGATTGAGAATTGGATAACCAGAGCACAATATGGATTTGGTGGGTGAATGAGACTTCTCAAACTTTGCCTTCCTAGCGGAGGCCTTTGGTTCTGCTACTAACATAACTGCCACTTGATTAATACATTCATACATTCTCTTCAATTTTTATATACATGAATTTAAGTTAGCATACTCTGTTTATGTCGTATCTAACATTCTATATTATATCTACCTTTATTCTTTAATTATTTTCTTAAAACGAAAAATTAGCAGATCGAGTTAAAAATAACATGCATTCGACCCCGTGCGTTGCACGGGTTAAATACTACTCCCTCCGTTCTTAAAAACACTTCCTCTTTCATTTTTTCCACTTCCAACAAAACACTTCTCTTTTCTATTAAAAAAGCACTTTTACCCTTACTTTTTCATACCCTACCTATCACATCATACTTTTTCTCTAATAATCTATTCATCACATTTTACTTTTACTCATCACATCAGGGGCAAAATTGGAAATCAACTATAATTTAACACTTCCTTATTTTTGCCCCAAATCAAAATGGGAAGGGTTTTTCCAAACGGAGGGAGTAGTATACTTATATGGAGTACTTCTCGGCCCTATTACTTCTCTAATTTGATGCCGGATCCGATTTTCGGAATTTTGTTGTAGACATTAAAACTAAATGGTGGGCTGGTACGCACGCATCAGTTACAGCCCATGCTCAATTTTCTTTTTTTTGTTGGGGGGGGGGGGCAAACTTTGGTTCTGGTCTTGAATATAATGTTAGGCCCATATTTTCAAAATAATAATAATAATAATGTTAGGCCCAGTTGTTATTTACAATATTTGTATTGGCTAGTTTACACGTAACATTAGAAATCTCACTTTTGGTCCTTGTTAATTATTTTTCCATAAGTATTTGAATTCGTCCTCCATGACATACAGACTTCAAATCTTTGTAACGTAAAAGATTATCTATTCACAATTGAAATATTATCGTCGTCAAAAACAACAAAAACCAGAATAATCACAACTACCATATGAACATTTCATTAATAATGGGGTCGACATTTTCATAACGTAGCGCGTATAGACTAATTCGAAGATACTTATAACCCAAAACTTCAATCTCTTCATTAAAACTTAAAGCATAATAAGCATAAACAAACAAACACACACAAACACACAAACGAATGTGTCAATGTGATCCTCCATGGATACACAGATCGACTTGCGCACATGAAGCTATTTCAGCACGTGCAAGGCACCCGAGTGAGGGAGAAGAAAAGAAAGAAATTAAGAAAGAAGAATCTATGGTTATATATTGGGTATGTAAATAAGTGCATGGGTTCTTAATTAGCTAGTTAAAGATGGAAGCTTTGTAGTGAATGGGAGCTACCTTTAATTTTCAGCTGGAAATACCTCTTTATATATATATGTTCAAAACCATTCTAAATCTTTGAGCTCATTCCAGAGAAACCAATTCTGAGGATCACCAAAAAGCAAAGATGGAACAAGACATCAAATAAAAAGAATAACCTAATAATTAATAATAATACTACTATATAATTACCTAATTTAATAATAAAAACCCAAAACCAGATGATATATATGTGTATATATATCTGAGATCGATCATCAGCAGCTAGCTAGCCCTTATAAATATATATATATATATATATATATATATATATATATATATATATGAAATTAGTTGATTGAATTCAATTCTAGTCACGCTCCTTTTGTACCCAATCTGGTCTGCCTAATGTGAACTCCAGGATGGGATTCTTTTCACAGTCCTGCACAAAATGCATGCATGGGTTTTATTAATTACTCTATTATATTTGTTGAATCACTCTTTAATTAAATAAATCAAAACCAGTTATATTACTAGCAGTGATAACTGTAAATTTAGAGAAACTTATTAACCATAAACTTTGACAACAACCAACTACTCCCTCCGTCTCTGAGTATTTGTTCACTTTTGACTTTTTTCAATCAAAATTGGTAAATTTTGACTCCAAACTAAATAAAAATGATATTAGATACTGGTACAAAAATAATTTTATTAGATTTATCATGAAAATTATTTTTAAAATATTATTTTATTTAATTAATATATAATATATATTTTATTTAATTATAGGTCAAGGTTGAAAATAGTTGACCGAGAAAAGTCAAAACTAGACAAATACGCAGGGACGGAAGTAGTATATAATAAGGGCTAAAATGGATGTTATTAAAAAAAACATACTTCAATGGGATGACCACATCTTTGCTGGTGATGAAATGAGGAAGAAGATGATCTGATAAGGCCACTCCCCTCATGGGAATTGCTTGTCTGCAACCATCCTTCTCTGCTGCTGCAAGTATATATATTTAGAACCACAAATATTAATTATTAATGTCATATATTGATATTAAATTGAGAAGTTAAATTGCAGAATGGAGAGATTAATAATTATATTACATATTTTTAGAATGCAAACAAAATACATATTTAGACAATTTAGAATGATTTGGAAACAATATAATTAAGAGTCAAGGTCATGTTACTAGAGAATATTTTTCTCATCACTTTGGCTCTCACTATTTCTACAATATCATTTCAAAAGATTAAGCCTCTTTTATTCCAGACACAAATTTGAAAGTTATTGTTCTTTGAATTGCAGAAGTAGTGGGGATAGAATAAAGAATCTTTAAAGAGTAGTAGATTATAGATAACTCAGCAAGTTTAATATATGAACCCCAAATCCCAAATGATAGGTAGATTATTAGTACAAAGGTATGAGTTTCTAAAGTAAGATGTGATAGGTAGATTATTACTCCCTCCGTTCCACTAAACCCTTCCCCTTTCGTTTTTTTTGAATTCCTTAAAACACTTCCACTTTCTATTAAAAAACCACTTTTACCCTTACTTTTTCATACCCTACCTATCACATCATACTTTTTCCCTAATAAACAAACTATCACATCTTACTTTTACCCATCACATCAGGGGCAAAATTGGAAAGTCAACCCAAATTACACTTTCCTTATTTTTGCCAAAAGTCAAAAGTGGAAGTGTTTAAAGGAACGGAGGGAGTAGAATTTTGACCAAAAAAATCAAACTATGAGGTTCTATTGGGAGGGATGAAGTATCACTGAGTCGCAAACTAACTCCAATGACTTGTTTAAATTTTCAAACTCGTTTTTCGTAAAACAAAAGTTTTTTAAAAACAGACGAAAAATTTGAAACGGATGAAGTATATAATAAACGAGTGACATAAAAGTGTTTGGAGACTATTTCATATATCAAATTGACAAAATGACATTTCTAATCTTGACACAACTTTTTTCAAATTTCACAAGCAAAACAAGAACATGTAGATGTAGTTATAGAGTAAGCTTTCTTCAATTCTTTTCCCAACCCACTCCCTAAAACTCCTCCTGCAGCTAATTAACTAGCTTTACTTGTTAGCTGTGTGTGCTTTTCATAACAAAAGACACACACAAAAAGACAAACACATGAACACAAAAACAAAGGATGGCTTCTATCCATAAATGCCACTTTGAGAAAAAGGAGAGCACTTAGGTCAAGATTCTGACCCCTTTCTCCCCCTTTACGCTAATTCTAATTAATTTCCTCCAGAATGGAATAAATTCAACACCCATTTATTTTTTTATTTTTTTTGTAATAGACTGAAAAAGTTAGTCTTTCTACTTTCTTCATTCCAATCCCAACCAAACATAGCATGACGCAAGAGAAAGTTATAATATTAGTCAACAGATTTGAAGACCACCCTTTGTTTGTTAATGTTGTTTTTGTTTTGTTTGAGTATTATATTTTTGACTTTGATGAGATTAGACTGACCTAATCAAATAGTCAAAATTATAATAGTTCTGGAATTGGTAAAGCTATTATAATAAGGGTGATATATAAGGGGTGTTTTGGGCAGTTTTTTTTGTCATGAAAAAGCTCTTGGAGGTAAATAATTACACTAAAAATGGACAAATTTTGAAGGAAAACCAAAATAAAAGTTTGGGTGTCTGGATTGGACCGACAATTTCCAGCGGAGAGGAGAGAAAATGAAAGGTAAACAAAATTAAAAAGCATAAGGCTATCTTAGTAATTAGCTTTTGTTGTTGACATGAAAAATAAAAATAAAAATAAAAATGGGTCAGTGGACAACACCCAATTAATTTCCATTACTTTAAAAAGTCACCTGATCCTTAGCTCGTACCACTGCATTTTACTCAATATATTCACTTAATTCGCTGTAAAATGGTTTTCTTTATATATATAAAAAAACAAGAAGTAAATTTCATGCATTCATTTTGTTATTAATTATTAAGATAATGCATGGGTGGCCCGTAAGATGTGCAAAGTGGCCAATCGCACAGGGCCCCTAGAATTTTAGGGCTCCATATTTTTAAATTTGTTAATAATTTTAAAGGAAAAGTATTCTAAAAATATAAAATAGGGCTCAAAATGTAAATTTAGGACCGGACCAATTTTATTTTTAAATTTTTCAGGACCGGCCCTGAGATAATGATTCATTAAATTAATTACTGTAATTAATTACCTTGAAGAGTTACTCCACAGGCTAGCTGCCGCGGTGGAGGTGAAATCCGGCTCTTGTTGCAAAGACCCATCCGGAGGACCTCTTTGGTCGGTGAGACGAAAACCGCCGCCGCCACTGCCGCCGGTGCTGCCGAGCACGGTCAAGTCGTCATCGCCGGACCCATCGGATTGCCCTTCACAACCCACATTTTCCCAAAGATTTAGATCAGAGTGTAATAAAAAAAATAAATTGGGCCTAAATTAGATTTTAAAAAAAGAGGAAATTACATAAATAACACTAAAACATAATGACTTTCCCTAAATAGCATCACATGTGTTTTTTCTCAACGTAGCAATTTTAGTCATTGTCCATTAGTCATTATTCAAGTAAATCTTTGCCACCACGGGATATTTAGACATTATTAAGTGTTATTTAGGAAATAAAATATTTTAAGCGCTATTTAGAGAAATGACTTAAATTTTAGTGCTATTTAGTACATTTGTTTTTAAAGGAAAATGAGGAAGAAGCTAAGATTAATGAATGAATTAGCAAAGAATAAAGTACTACTAGTATAAACAAAATTAATTACCTGAGGAAACCGCAGGTTTGTCAGTGGTTTTAACAGTTCGATACATCTGCGACATTTGGGAAATTTAAGTGTTGTTATTATTGTTTAAATTTTCCCAAATCAGGACAATATTTACCCTTCATAAATACTCCATTTTTGTTTTCATTCTAAACAACAATTCTTATCAAATAATTTCAACCCAATATAATATATTCCAAATCAAACCCTTCCACTCCCTCACCCCTCTCTCTGTCTCCCCACCGTCCACATAATAGATAACATTATACTCCCTCCACTCAAAATAAAATTTCTACTTTTTTAAAAAAAATGCCCAAAATCAAATCCATACTTTTTTATTAAGGAAAAAAAAATATGTGACTCAATATTTTTTTTTCTTAAACTCCGTGAAATTAGAGACAGTACGATTTTATTTTCGAGGAAAAAGACACTATGGAGAGGGGCAAAATGGGGTTTTGGAGGGAGGTGGAGAAGTGGTAATGATTTGCTAATAATGTGTGTGTGTGTGTGTGTGGGGTGGGGGGATTAGTCAAGAGGAAGATGTTTGATAAGAATGAATGAAGTAGGAAAAGGCTTTCATAGGCTAGGTATAATAGCTCAGCTCTATTGTGTGTGTATTATTGAGAAATGATGACTTACTTTTGTCTCTTACACTCTCCCCTCTCTCTCTCTCCTCTCTCTCTCTCTCTCTCTGTCATCAGACTTCATTTACTGTGCATTCTTTAATTCATTCATTCACTGCACTCATCGGCTACTGTGCCGGAGCTACCCTACCCCCACCCCCACCCCCACCCCCAGCTTGAGAAGAAATTAAAAGAAAGGTTTATTTTTCATCAATTACTTTTTTTTTTGTTACAAAAATATAAATAAATTGTGTACCTGTAGATGGCTCTTGACATGAGCAAGTGTGAGATCTTTCACATCCATGAGCTCTAGTACTGATTTTGGAGTTGCCCCTTCACAAACCCAAAAAAATAATGAAAAATTATTCCAAGATATAATTAGTAATGGGATTTAGTTAATTGATTAATCTTTTGTTTTTGTTTTCTGATTAATAATAATAATAATAGGGCTAGTGATGAATAATAATTTAATTATAGTTATGTTTACCCACTTTCATGGCCACCGAGGAGCTCGACGGCGTGGACGAAGCGGGCGTGGAGGGTGCTGGTCCACCTCATTCTCGGGGCCCGCATGCTCCGTTTCGCCGGGAGCTTCGGGAGGAATCTCGATCTCATCATTATCCCGTGTGCCGCCGCCGCCGGGGAGGGGCCGTCGTGGTGGTGGTGGTGGTGGGGTGGAGCTCCCCCTCCCCCTATTCCGTACTGCTGCGGGCTGATCGGGGGGTAAGCAGGGGAGGAGGAGAAGCCGTTGAATCTCCGGTAACCGGACGGGGATGGGGAGGACAGATGATCCAAGCCATTGAAATACGGGGAGGAGGGGGGAGGAGCGGAGGAAGGCGGCGGCGGCGGCGGCATTGGGTAGAAGCCGCACATCTTGGCCGCCGTCGCCGGATCCTTATTGGTCTCCCCCACCGCCGGCAGGAACGGAAACGGACGGTTCTGATGGTACACCGGGATGCCCTTGATGGGCCTCAGACCGTCGGATACGTCCAACAGCGAAACCCCATGATTTATGTTGCTCATACCCCCGCCGCCGCCTCCGCCGCAGCTCCCATTCGTACTACTACTACTAATACTCTTTAGAAAGCCGCCATGGTTTTGGTGGTAATAAGGATAACTCTGGTGGGGAAGAAGGCAGCTGCTTTGTTGGTGGAGTTGATGATATTCCCTCCCCGTGCCGCCGCCGCCGGTTCTCAAGAAACGGCTGCTGCTATCACCCGCGGTCGTCGTCGCGGCCAAGGAGAGCTCCAGGTACGACGACGCGGGTGATGGCCGGTGGGACGCCGAGAGGTCGAACCCGGTGGAGGAGGGCGGCGGCGGGGAGGAGGAGGCGGCGGCGTTGGGAGAGCTAATGTGGAGAGAGAGATCTGGGTTTGAATGGTGACTAGAAGTAGAGGGTTCAATGAAAACCCCTTCTAAGGGCATGGCTGGGCGCTGTTATATTGTTCTTCTTCTTTCCTTTGGCTTCTCTAATTAATTAATTTCCTCCTTTTCCTGGATCCTAAGAAATCAAAAAACACACCGCGTTGAAGAAGCTTTTATTGCCTTTCTGCAAAAGAACCCTCTCTTTATTCGGAGGAGGAGATGGAGAAAAAAGCTAGAGAGAGCAGAAATGGAGTTTTTTCTTTTTTTTTTCTAGTGAGAGAAAAAGGGGGAAAAGAAAGGGAAAAATGGGAAATGGAGAAGAAGAAGAAGAAAGAGGAGATTTGGGTGAGGTGCTCCTAGCTCGAGAGTATATCTCGGAAAATGACACTGGAACAATGAGGTCTCTCTATCCGTCTATACTAACTAGTCAAAACTAGCAAAACAACAAAATGCTTTTTTTAAAATAATTCAATTTTTTAAAAAACAATACTACTCCTTCTTTATACTGGTAATATTTGTTCAGTTTAGACTTTTGCAAGGTCAAAAGTTATAAACTTGAGAAAATTTACCTAAATAGAACTAAAACATAATTACTTTCCCAATATAAGACCATATGTTTTTATTTTCCAATGTAGGACCTTTGGTCATTATCAAGTAGTCATTATTCAACTAAATATCCATCATTACTGGACATTATTCCTCCTACTAGGTCATTATTAAGTCCTATTTAGGGAATAAAAAAGTTTAAGCCTTACATTAGGAAAGTCATTATGTTTTAGTCCTATTTAGTGCAAATTTCACTATAAAACTTTCACTATCAAATATCAATTAAGTACACCTAAAATTTATACTCTGGCATTAAATATTGATAGAATAATAATTTTGTTTGATTAAAAATAGTAAATTTTTAAAATGATGCTTAATAACTATGTGTTAATCGGAAATAATACTCAGTTTAGTCCTTCGACTAACGGTCATCAAAGCAGCGTTAGAACGGCGTTAACGCTTATACTAATTTCCCAAAATGGTCCTTTCTAGTTGGATATTTTTTCAAAATAGCCCACTTTCAAAATAAAAACTCATTAAATATGGACAAAAAATTAAAAGTTTATATGACGAAAATATATTGTAATAAATAAAACTTTAAATATAATTTAATAATTTAAGATTATCTAAAATTATTTATAAGAATACCATATAAATAAAATACGGAGTATTTAATAAACAGTCTCATCCATTCTAAAATGAAACTCCTGCTTTAATTTGGATTACAATATTTGACCGAAATTATTTCATAACTAGAAAAGAAATACTTCTTCCGTTCATGAGTATTTGTCCACTTTTGACTTTTTTTTGGTCAAAATTGGTAAACCTTACCAACAAATTAAAGAAAAATGATATTCTATATTGATAAAAAATTTGTTTTATTAGATCTATTATATCAAATATTTTTAAAATATTATTTTATCTACTAATTCTAATTAATATACAGTATATATTTTATTGAATTATAAGTCAAAGGATAAAAAAGTTGACCAAAAAAGTCAAAACTGGACAAATATTCAAGACGGAGGTAGTAGATACTCCTTCTGTCCTAAAATTAACTTCTTATTTGACTTTTCACGGTCTCCAATGCGACACTTTGACCATTAATCTCTCAATTTTTATTTGAATATATATTACAAAAATAACATATTTCAAAATATGTTTTAAACGATCAAAGTTTAAAAACTTTGACTATAAAAGTCAAACTAGGAAATTAATTTTAGGACGGATGGAGTAACATTTATTAAATATTTTATTTACATGATACTCTTCTAAGTCATTGTAAATAATTCAAAACATTCACTTTCAAATTCATAAAGTTTGAAAGTAAGAGAAATGCTTGGTTCACAAACACAATCCTCACAAACTTCACAAGTTTATTATTTATGAACTTCAAAAAAAAATTAAATCATCTTAAATAATTTTAAAATGAGAATTTAAACCATAAATAATAAGTTTGTAAAACTTGTGACCATTCTGTTTGTGAACATAACATGATTTCCACAGCATTATTGACCCTATCCATTTCAAAAGTATTTCCACAATATATAACTTTTCACAGTCTAATTTAGTTAATTACGGAGTAATATTTGTATTTACACATAAAAAATATTGCAAATTATAAAAACATGTCATTTAAAAATAAAAATAAAAATTAATAATATCATACTCGGTATTAAACTAACATTATAAATCACTGTATTTTATTTTAATAAACAAAGATCAAGGTTTAGTTTGTACCTTGAATTATTCGTTGTCCTATGGTTCACATGTGAAATGTAGATTTTTTTAAATTTTCATAGTGAACAAATGAATCTTTTTTTTTTTGCAAATTGGCCCAATTCTCGTACCTTACTAATCCACTAAGATCCATTAACTAAAAATAGACCTGTCATAGAAACATTTTTTGAATTATACATTTTATTCAAAAAAAAAAGTCAAAGCAAAGCAATTATTTTAGAAGCAGGGAAAGTATAAAAGCGGACTCAATTGATAGTAGACCCAAAAAAGAATCATACCAAAATAATTAAAAATTGTTGAACGCTTTTTAAATTATAAAAGAAAATTGAAAGATAAAGGGCCACTTTTTGATTGATTTGCCTTTTCCATGACTCCCCCGTAGAGAACGGGTTAAAAAAATGGTTGAGAGAGAAAGACTCTTGTTTGTGACGACTCTTCTTTGCTTTTCTAACTCTTTGAAGTTCTCATCTGATTGGGTCTAATCTTATCTGATTGAATCTGATCTGATTTGTCTAAAATATTTACTCTCCGCCCAAAAAAGAATGCCACATCCAGTTATTCCAATTTTTCAATAACTTTTGGTTACTTACTCGTTTTAGTTGACCATTTAATAAAATAAAATATTCTTGTCGCATTTTGTTTTGTAGAGCTTATGATGTACAGTGTAATTTATTCTTTTTATTTTTTACCAATTTGTAAATAAAATAATTTTAAAAAAGAAGTTATTTTACACACTGTTCGAAATGTAGCAAACAATTTGAGACGGAAGGAGTAATTATTTGGGTGCACCGATACTCACACCCGATTAAACATTAACGTCATCCCAGTTCAATATTGACTTTTAGATCAAATATGAAAAAGATATGTACAACTTTATCCTTACAAATTTCACTAAACTCACTAATCTAGTAGGGAGTAACACGGATCATAGAGTATTATCTGCAGTTTTTAACGACGTGTGCTCTCTTTGTTTTTCATCTTTGCACTTTGGTGTTGTAAATTCTGTTTAACTTCTAAGGATGTTCAAAAGAAGCCACCAAAAACAGATGTTTCGTCGCAATTTTGTTCTTCATTCTCTTCACCTAATCTGAATGGTTCTGGTCTGATAGGAATAATTTCTGATCTGATTTGATTTGATCTGATTTGAATGTAGTTATTTTTAAAACTATTTCTGATCTGGTCTCGTCTGATCCGATCTGATTCCAATAAGAATAAGTAATAAGTAAAAATTGGCATGATTCGTATGTCTTAAATTTAAACAATAAATGTTTTTTTGAAGAACTCCCCAGGTAAGAGTAAAAAATTATGAAAATACTAAAATAAGAGTAATAAGTCTTTTAAGACCAAAATATGAATTCACGCTGTCATTGCTACACTGCAACACTCACCACATTATCACATTGTAACTGTTACATTATCACCGCCACATGCACTGTCATCCAACGCTGCCAGCCACCAGAGTGTCACCGCGGATCACCAATATTTAACTGATCACACTAATATATTATACTATCATCACTTTTTCAACACACTGCCAACACGTATTCTTACACCACACTGTCATTACATTCTTATTTTAGTCTTAAAAGATTTATTATGACTGCTATTTTGGTATTTTTCATATTTTTTACTTCTCTCTAGACATATTTCTTTTTTTTTTTGGCTTGAATGTTATGGGTGATTAGTAATTCATTATCCCACTTTCAACTTATGTGTTGCTTTTTATGTTTTTGCATCAATGTTAATTTTCCATGTTTAATTTGTGTTTTATAGAGTTTAAACCTGTAATATGATTTAATGTTTTGCAAGTATATAGTTTACCTAGATAGAATACGATGAACAAAAACCTTTACCGTTTAAATTTAGAGCTTGTTATTTAGATCTTAAAGTCTTAACTTCCAGAATTTTCTAGTTCCTTCCAACTATTTTCATTTTCTTTAGCTATTATGAATATAATAATAATGCTAATAATAATAATAATAATAATAAGAACAACAATAACAATAATAACAATAATAATAAGAATGCTATATAAAATACACTTGAATAAAGTTTTGATCTTTTTTATAGTTTTTTCTAGTTTGTTCCTGTTACTTCAAGTTTTTTTCAGTTTTTTCCAGTCTTTTTTATTTTCTTCCAGTTTCTTTCACTTTTTTCAATTTCTTCTAATTTTTTTAGTTTCTTCTTACATCTTACTCTTTTTTGCAACCCTAATGAACATGCTCTAAGATCTTGTTCTTTAGGACAAGAAAAAAAGGTGGATGTTGGAAGAAACTGGAAAGAACTGGGAAAACTGAAAGAAACTAAAGAAGCTGGGAGGAACTGGAAGAAGTAGGAATGGCAATTCAACCTGAACCCAAGCTTAACCGACCCAACCGACCACTAATATATATTCGAACCCAAACCGAGAATATAATAATCCAAACCCGATCCAAATTTTTTTACCAGAACCCGACATCAGGTCGGGTCGGGCGTGGGTTTATTATTTTACCCGACCCGAACCCGCACCCGACCCGACTAAAACCCAAATATTTTATAACATAAAAGCCTATCTATGGATATAATGAGCACTCCGTATAATCTTTTGACAAAGTGCTACTATATAAAGTATGTCTTTTATAATCATTTTTATAATTTCTTAATAAAAAATGAGAGACAAAAAAAAATTGATTTAATCTTTTTAGAATTATTGGGGTACGTCGGATTGATTATTCGTTAAAAGTCGGGTTCGGGTTTCGGCTTGGAATGTCAGATTCGGGTCGGGCCGGGTATAGTACTATCCGACCTGAACCCGATCGACCCATTGCATGCCATCCCTAGGAAGAAGCTGGTAGGAACTAGAAAAATTTAAAAAAATTGGAAAATTGAAAAAAATTTAAATAAATTAATTTTATTTTATTTTTAAATTATTGTCATTCAAATTCTTATTGTTATAAATTAATAATAATAATTATTATAATTATATTATTATTTTCATCATCATCATGTTATCTTAATGAATGCCAAATGAATACCTTTAAGATAAAGAAACATATTGTTATTCTTCATACACACACACAAAAATTTTCAAAAAAAATTATTAAAATATAAATTTAGCATAAATATCAAAATTTTAAATTTTCAAAAGTTATTGTGGTTACGTTGCATATCAATTTATTTATGGAGTATTTATTATAAAGTAATATATTTGTAATTACACTTTATATATTACAAGATTTTATTTTAAATATCAGACATGTCACATAATGTAATCAAACCTATTTTTCTTTCATTAAATTTATTTTATCTTCATTGTAACTCATATTTTTGGAATAAAGACATAGAATGTTTATTTTTATACATTTTCTATGCTTTACTCCTATTTTAGTCTTTTTATCTAAACTATTTTGAATTTCTATTTGTTTATAAAAATTAGAAAAATAAAAAACAAAATTAAATTTTGAAATAAATAAAAATGAGAAAAAACTGAGTAATAAAGGGAAAGGTGAGGGGTCTTATATAAAGTTAGATTAATAAAACATTCTATGTAACTACTTTATCCATAATTTTTTATATAGTTTAAAATAATGTTTTTTCTATTTTATCATGTTTATTAATATACAAAAAAATTGTCTTATTTATATTAAAAAGTTGAATAAAAAATAATAATGAGTGTGAATTATAAAAATAGAGAGATGAAAAAAATAATTTAAAAACTATAGTTATGAACATAATATTTGTAATAATATTAATAATAATCATATTAAAAATATATCGTTTTTAGAGTAATTGGTCGGGGAGTGATAAGAGTTTGAAAAAAATGAGAATAGTTGAAAAAAACTAGAAGAACTGGATGAAAATGAAAAAACTGGAAGGAACTAGAAGAAACTGAAAGTGAATTTAAATCTTAAAGAACATGCTCTAAGTCAATAGGAGAGAAGCCCAATAAATATGGAAACTTAGTTTAGTACTCCGTAGGAAGGAGTACTGTTTTTTTTTTCCTGCTTCTTTTTTATTTAAAAAAATATGCTTGTATATATCTACTTTATTGTATTGCAAGTTAGTACATTAATGAATTTAGAGCTATTCCATTTCCATGCTACAGAATGGGCAGGCAGATAATGTATTCAACGTCTTTCGAATTTTCAAATGGTGCTTTCTTTTCTTCCTTTTTTACTCGCAGCATCTAAGATCAGTTCCACTCAAAAATGTCTTTTGCTGATCGAAAACATATCCAAAATGAGTTTCAAATTGAAGAGTTTAGATGTGTTTTTATTTCTCCAAAACTTAAATTTATTTTTTATAAGAGGAATTCGGACATAGAGATGAACCCCTAACAGGTTAGGTATTAAAGGAATAATAGGAATTAGAATTCGTTTGAAATCTTAAATTCCTATTTTAATTTTTGGAATTTCATAATTTCTGTTGGGAAAAATAGCACCAAACTTCCCACGCAACGTCACAAGTCGTGTGACCTTTAGTGCGAAGGTGAGAAGCCGACTTCTCCTCTTCCTGTTGACTATCCCGCCCTCCCTTGACCTGCATGCGCTTTCCTCCCTCTGATTGCTAGCATCTGCTGTCGTGCTAGTTCCTGCCGCCAGCATCTCTCTCAATCAGCCGCTTCCCCCGGCCTCCGGTCGCGGATGCCAAGGTCAGCATGTACGCATCTAAAGTTTTTTAGCCCAATCCAATTATCTCTACCCATCCTAAATTCTATCATGGTATCGGAGCAGGTTTTGACCCACCTCGTTTGTCAAGGTATCTGTCTATACGTTCATTCCTAGCGGCCCGTTTATCTTTAGCCCAGTTGTCTGTGTGGAGTGTGTACCCAACGGCATGTGGCCTGTTTAACACGATTGCTCGTCTGGAAGTCCATACCCAGCGACTCGTGGTCTTTTAGGTATTGGCACTAAAAAAAAGGATGAGAGTCCATTTGCAAGTGGTCAACCGGTTAGATTCAAAATGGTCTGGTTGTCCACTTGAGGGGAAGTGTTAAAGAGTATTCCACATCGGAAAAGTGTGAGAAAAATAATAGGTATATAAGCTCTTGAAGTAAACTAAGTAATCGATTAGATTCAATCTTTTAATGTGGTTCAACTCAAGTGTCTTATTGCTCAATCCAGTTATCTCTTCCCAATTCTAAATTCTATCAACTTATCATTTCCTATCAATCCAATTCAAATAATATTTTTTTTCACTTCTTTTTCTCATCATTTTCTTTCCTCTTGTTTTCTTTCCTCTCATTTCCTCTCCTCATCCAAACAAACCATAAATGTGAATTTTAAATATGAATTTTAAACGGACCCTTTCCATAAGTATTCATTGATAGTAGATCGTGCTTAATTAATCTTTTTGCTAAATGTCCCTCTTTGATAAAATAGTGATTACGGAAGAACGATAAATGTCTTCCAAATTTAGGAAATAAAAAGTTGAACTTTCTGTATCATATTTCTCAAATGATAATAGTCTGCTATTATAACTTTTGTTAACTACTACGATTATGGAAAATTCTATCCTCTGCTTAATGTTGACCATTTGGTATTTCATTATTTCTACGTCGTTCATCTACTTTTTTAGGTGCATGGGGAAGATCTAATGGTCTAGATCTTTGTTCTAGTCTTCTTTATTTCGAAATTTGTAAATTAATTACTACCTCCGTCCCAATGTCTTTGTCCACTTTTGACCTTTGGAACTGTTCATCTAAGTACTTTGACTCATCAAATTCTCTCAATGTGTAAGCCTAAACTGGGTTGTTGTTGTTGTTGTAATTTCTATAATTTTTTAATATACAAATTACAAGATAAAATGAATTAAAAAAGTGCATTGAATGGTGTGCCAAAAGGTAAGTAGACAAAGACAGTGGGACGGGGAGTAATTTTTTTATATACACATATCAAAGTTTAGAAGTTTACAAAAGTAAGAGGATAATAATAAGGTCATGTGTTATCATGGTGTTAGGAGGGCGTCACTACTATACCTCCTTAACGCCTAATTCACCGCGCCGGCACTTCATTGGAGGGGCATGTCCACTTCTTGCCTTCTAGGATGATGGCCATCTCGGCATGACCTCTTTTTTTTTTTTTTATTTCAACCAATCAACATAGTCCACTTTTCACCTCATCACTTTTTTATCACGCCTTCAATCAAGCAACATAATACAAATGTTTTTATCACTTCACATCTTATCTATTTACACTCAATCAAACTTCTTCAAGTCCCCCGCCAAGCCCGCCATAACACATGGTATAATCATTACGGAGTTTATGACAAAGAATTAACTTATTTTTAATTTTAATATTAAAATTTATATGTATCACACTCTCTGTCTCAAAATAATTTTAAATTTGGCTTGTCAAATACTACCTCCGTCCAGAGTATTTGTCCAGTTTTAAATTTTTTCATTCAACCATTTTTAACCTATGACTTATAATTAAATAATAGGGAGAAAGACCAAATTAAGTAAGACTAAAAAATTGAAAATATACCAAAATAAGACTTTCATATTTTTATTCTCGAAATAAGACTTAAAATGCATTTACATTACCAAACATGATCATGTACATTACCAAAAAATATAGTAATGTACACATGTACACTGCCACATTACAATCACATTACCAGAGTGTCAAGTCCTATATCGGAAAAAAACATGAAAGTCCTAATTCGGCACTTTTCACTATGTTTTAGTTCTATTTAGGGATATATATATATATATTTGTTAGCAAAGTCGGAATGAGTAATAAATGTAGTTTTCATTCTTTGATCATATCTCGTACTTATGGATCTCATCTTCCCATCACGTGCTTTAGCTCTCCCTCCCATTCCCGCTTAAGAAAAGGCATTTACCTTTGTATAGGGAAGTGATGAGACCTTTGCCTATATGATCACCTCCATCGTAAAGCTGATTGTGGCAAAACACGTATTTGGTAGAGTTTGAGGGACTAGAAACTCATTCCGTGGAAACCTTTTTTCTCACTTTAGGTGAAACAATAAAAGATTGACTACTTTTTTTATTACTAATTCCTACCCTTATTCACCCCTACTGTTATATACTCTCTCCGTCCAAAAAAGAACTTCCCGCTTTGACTTGGTGCGCAAATTTATGTGAAATGAAAATTGCTTTGACTTTCCCATTATACCCCTCATCCTCTCTACCATGTTCCCCCACTGGCAGCGCCATCTACCCCGTCCAACACCAAAACTTCCGCAACGCCGCCGGCAACGCTTCCACACCGCCGCCGGCGACGCTTCTGACCGCCGCCATCGACGCTTCCGCAACCCCCGCAATCGAAATCCCCCCCCTTTGCAGCGCCCCGCCGTCGCAAGCCCCCTTC